AGGCACACCCTGCTTACAATACAAATACTGATTTAAAGAAAGCCCGACGGTTCGGTTGCACACAACTAGTGTAGGCAAGTGAAGTAACTAAAACATTTACTTTCGAATTGTTACACTCAACTGAGGCTTGAGATTTAATTGTCGAACAAGAGTCCAAACGATCACTATCGTAATTTTTGGCAATCTCTTCCGTCAAATCAAAGTGACCCTATGCGATTTTGTACTGTTTTTCCCACTCAACCCACTTATCGTACAACTGTCTTGCGCACGCAAGAACCTACCTCTGCACCGGCGTCGGCAGTATGAACCTGTAGACGATCGATACGGCAAAGTATAGCACCGTCCAGACCGTCATTTCCCGGTAAGTATGCTGCCAGACGCTGCCTCGCCATCGCAGAAGAAGCTTGAAGAAACTCCTGGAGGAACTCGTAGCGATATCCAAGTTGTATCCCACCGTCATCGCAAGGTAATGTCGGACCAAAGGTCGGATCAAAAGGAACAAAGGCAACAAACTTGCTCTGAATGAGTTAACAAGAGTCTCCTCGCAGCGACGGGTTGCGTTGACCGATCGATGTGACGTGATATCATTTACAGCACGGAGTCGGACTAATGTCTGACGCGTGAAGATGCAACGTCGAATGATTGACGCGTGCGTACGGCGCCCTCCGCTGTGAGCCGCACGCGACACAAACTGGTTAAGGAACCTTGTCCTCAAAAACAAGAGCCTGGAGTTAGCGGTAAACTGCACAAACCTTTGCATGTTTTGTTACATTTTCCGTAAAAATTTCTTCAAATCGTCGATCCAGTTGCTTCCATGTCATTCACTGAATTCCTAAGGAAGTAAAATTTATTGCTGATAGGAGCGTTTTGCGAGCGTCGTATCGAGAAAATTAACGGTTAGTTCTGGTACCGGTCCTTGTCCTGGTCCGGTGCTGGTCCTGGAGGTCTAGGCCCAGGTCCTGGTCCGGGTCTTGGTGCCCAGAAAAAAGTGCCCATTCTCGGCCCCGGACTTTGCCCCTGGTCACCGTGCCAAAATTTCTTGATGGCCACCAAGGGTCATGCCCCTTCGTGGAAATAGAACGAAGAACGTCGTTAAGGGACGCCCCGACTGACTGGTGTCATCCACGCAGCGCAGAAGGAATGCGGAACAATCATGATCAACCAAGGCAGATGCAGGTGAATTATTAGCATGCGAAGCAGAATCATCCGAAGCAGAACCATGTGAAGCAGAGTCATACGAGGAGGCACGGCTCTTCCCGCCTTGGCACTTGTTGGGGCATCGCTTCCACTCGGACGCGCACTGGTCGCAGCAAGAGTGTCCGCAGGCAAACGCGACATTCTTCGCGCGATCCATGCAGATCGAGCATTGCATTTTCTCTTCGAGCTCTCCAGCGCGAGCCGCATGCATCCGACCTTAAGAGGAACCCTTAAAATGGTTCACAGTGTTCTTTTGCCATCGCTAAGGAAAGCAATCTCAGTGCTTCACCTCATGCGCTAGGAAAACACAGGCGTACCTTTTTGAATAGCGACGCTCAACTGATTCCGAAGAGTTTCGATCTCGGCGGCAGAAACTGCGAGCGAGGGACGGATCGCTTCAAGCTCCTTCTCCGCCTCTGCAAGGCGACCTTCCAACAGCTGGACCTTCTCGCGTTCGGCCTTGATTAGCTTCTCGACGGCAGTGACGCTATCTTCCAGAACTGCTACGAGAAGACGAGATTTTCCTAAAAATCTTCTTCGAATCAAATGCATCCATCAGAATCCGCACAGACGCGCCCAGAAAATGTAAACTGAATGCGAAATGGATTGAAGAGCCCTGAATACAAACGCAATTATTGCCTCCACTTCCACTACCCAAAAAGATCCAAAAACCTTTCGGCGTTTGCTCGTGACAAGCCGTTGACTCAACTTGCGTATAAACGAACCCTTAGCCCACGCCTCTCTACCAGACTTCTTTGTACGGTCCACACTGAGACTGAGCGCAAAATTCGTACCTTTCGTCTCTTTCTCCGAAGGCGTGGCCAGCGAGGTCAGGCGCTTAGAGCAGCTCTTCATGCTGGCAGACATCTTCTTGATTTGCTCACTTCGAGTACCGGCCTCACTCTGAATCCGATCCACTTCCCGAGCGAGCTGGCTCGCTTTCTCGTCCCATTTGCGGACTTGTGCGGCTCGAAGACATTCCAGTTTCACAAAGATTTCCGACTGGTTCGCGCTGACGTGTTGTAGCTTCATTGCATACTCGATAACCCTGACTGCAAGTGAAAGCGCCCGCTTGCACTCTTCTTCGCTTAGCTGCGCTTCGTTTCGCTTCAGCTCGTCTTTGAGTTTGAGAAGTGACGTTTTGCTGATGTCGACATTGATGGCTTTACCAAAGGATTCGAAGAAGCGGTCGTGTACTAGACCAGAAAAGGTACGCATCAGACGTACGCCGTAAGTATAGTATGTACGTAATACTTTTAAGCCTCCCATGGGGAGCTTTCGGACATAAATGCATACGGTATCGGGTCAAAGGTTTCGTAAAAGGCCATAGACTAGGTAAATTTCAGGCCGGACGTTGGACGCCCGTAGTCCGCCCCTGTTACGTCCAGACGGTAAAACTTTGAACATCTCCGCGGGCCGTACTTCAGCATCATACGGCTAGAGGAAACATAGATTGCGATGCGAAAATCGTCGCTGGGTCCAAATTTAGCATACTATCAGTTGAATACGCTGGACTTGATCAACTTTTGTTACAGAGTATCATTTTTACCGAAGACGCCCAGTGGCAAGCCTTCGTTATCGTTCTCTAGCGACCCTTGGCCCTAAAAGCACCCTCCATAGGCACCGCCTACGAAAACAAGAACCCAGATCAAGCCGCGTAAAACGCTCAAGAAGCGGGTGATGATGCCTACCGTCAGCAAGAACACGGATCTCTTGTTCAAGCATGTGCAGGAGCTCCGCGAACATCTCTTCGGCCTCTTGGGCACGCTTCTCGAGCGTTCCGCTGACAGCCACGTTGGCAGGAACTGAAAGTTGGATATGGTTAGGTTGGCATGCACGAGCAGGTACGGTAGAAGATGTGTATGATTTTAAATTTAAATTTTTTGAAAACAAGTATTGTTTTCAGTACTACGCAATTAGCTCTATCCGAAGGTTTGCGGAGTTAGGGAACCGTACACAGGTTTAACTAATTGGTAAAAAATCACGTTATATCAACTTAACACGTACGTATCAGTCGCTTCGGCGTGTAAGTCTCAATATTATGCCTAAGATCGGAGCATAGACGAAGGAATAAGTCTACGTCTTTGTGATGAAAGCCATCGCGGAAAGAGTTCAGTTCTGACGAAGACATTGTGGCTTTTCGTCGGAATGGAAAGCGATGAGTCGACTACGGCTTACTGCGGTCTTTTAAACACCACAATGAAGGTAGTTTGCCGTTATTCAACGATCTACGAAGTTTCACACAAGATTATTGCTAGCGTTGCAGTGTCAGATACCCTACTCAGTGGACCTCGGCGATGCGATATGCGACTCTTGAACCAAGGTCGTTGACATTGTAAACGTCTCAGACGTCTGACAGCCAAACATTTGAGGTAAACGTATTAGAGTCCACGTCATTATGCAGCCATTTACCAACTCCTATGCAGCCCTTACGGTGTGGATGATTTATGTGTTCGCTGCTGCATTGTCCAGTCCGGTCGGCCTTCAGCCGCATGTTCATAAACTGCTGCTCACTAATAGTAAACAGTACTCAAAAATAAGTTTCGAGTGATCGAATCAGCCAGCGGCACGCAGGCCCTTGCGGCAGTGGGGGCGAAGGGAATCGAAGGGTCGGCCCCAAAATCCGACCCTTTTTTCAGGTTTTCCGACCCTAAGATCTTGGGAGATTTTGTGCTTTAAACGGAACAATTTTGTGCTTTAGTGCTTTAGCAGCCGAAGATTTTGTGCTTTAAACGGAACAATTGCATCTGCCTTATATGTAGTACACTAGAAACGATTACTAAGACTTGGTGGGCCGTACCGTACGGTCTTCCGTTTTTGACGGCACCGAACACGACATAGTAAAGTGTTCAAAATGGGACCATAGTGCGGCACAAAGACCGGTCGTTTTTCGTATTTCCGCCTTTTTTGCCATACTCTACGGAACGGTAAAACGGTACGGGACGGTCAGTACGGAACAGAGTACGGTAGGGAGGCGGTTCCGCCAAGTGTACGATTACTTACATGCTTCTCTAGCACTATTGCATCGCGGAACTTGTCGTTACCAAACACGACAACCCTTTAATGTGCAAGGTTGAAGAGTATGCTCAAACACAATCACAGAGCGTGAAAATATTGAATGATGGTACAATCGCGAAGAAAGCGAGAAGTAAAGATCCTCCGATTCATTCATAGGCTTTGCCGGTGACGTAGACGTCCGGCCACTCCGCCGATGAGTATATTTTGCGGAACTCGGTGTTCTTCGGCGAATGCAACCAGTCGTAGCGGGCCTCAGGCAGATCCTCGTACCATCGATCCCCGTACGTGGCCTGAAGATAGAAGTTCAAAAATTCAAACCAAATACGAATCCAAAGGCGAGAATAAAAATCGGAAGCAAAGCCGAACCCCAAAAAGGCACCTTTCCGTAGTTCCGAGTCCGAATAGAAAAGAGGCCAAGAGATATTCGGCAGTCGAAGATGGACTCTGGGACTTGCGACAAAAATCAGCTCGCTACATAGGCACTAAAGAAATTTCAGAGAAATTCAACTAACATGGTGAAATTTTTTTGCGTAGCCTAGCCCAGCCCTTTATCGTTTTGAATAAACTCCGGAAAACGCGGTTTTTACCCAATTGATAAAGCCAAATACAAATGCAAAACATTCACCAAACTTCCGATGTTTCACAACTCCTCGCTGTCCTCGGTAATGGACAGCGTCAACAGGTATTAGTCGTCGAAACAAGCTGGTTCGGTCAAATTTCGATCTTTTTTGACCGATTTTGGGTAGCTATTACCGAAAAAACGAAGTCGCACGGACGTAAAAAGAATTGCCACGAGCCGGGATCGAACCGGCGACCTTATGATCTTCAGTCTTTATTGTACCAGTCGGAATATCGACAATTTGTTTGCATTCCACTGGTGGACAACTGATATGTACAATGAAACTGGGCACATATGCTGCAGTCTGACGACGGGACGTTGACGAGCGCGCGACGCGGGAACGGGAAAAAGCGGGTGTCCTCACAGCCGGAGAGAAGTGCTGGCGATCATCGGGCGAGTGCAAAAACCGCTCCGTTGTCCTCGCGCAAGTCCACGTGCGGTCGTTAGCGGTATTGTGTGCCGGTGTAAACAATGGAAGCCTCATAGGCTGTAACGCTTTTGGAAGCGTATGTCGCTTTGTTGATGCGACAACAACGAGAGCCCTGCGAGGCTCGTAATGATGGGATGCAAGTGTTTACGCGGTGCATCACCGGAACAAAGAGCGTCGCTTCGACGCGCAAAAGAGAGAAAGAATTAGTCAGCTCGTAGCTGAGAATCGGCGCATCGCCGTCGCTTTAAAGCGTTGATTGCTGGGATTCAGGTATTCCCACCGGATTTGGGTTATAGATGTTTTTTGACGGCTTATATTTGTCCGCTAGGATGTGCGTCCAGAAAATGTCTTTCGACCTTTCTATCACCTCACCGATTAGGTAAGGCGCCATCTTTTTGACAGCACTTTCCGAGAACCCCAGGTTACTCAGCGTAGCATCGTTCTCCGGGCACCAGGATCCAAGGGCGCCAATAGTTATTGCACCTTGGAATACTTTAAAACCTTGCGCCCGGTAAGCATCCGCCTTTCTCTGGTATTTCTCCTTTTTTCTTGCCGTGCCCTCCTGGAGCTTATCGTCGAATGGACAATTGACGTCGACAATGCAAACTTTGTTATCGCGTCGATCAATTGTCACAATGTCCGCCCGTGAGCGATCCTCTTTTCCGGCAATCCTTGGATCGCATCTTTTATTGACGCGCACCTCCAAGTCTTTCTTCTTCGGCAGGCAATCAACAATTTTGTTTTGCAGACCATTATGTCTTTCCGTGATGTCATAAGCCATGCTGAACAGGCAGTGACAGAGCACATGGGGCAACGTCTCGTAGACGTGAAAGCACCTTCGGCAGCCCGCATTTTCGCCGATTCCCTTTTTCTGGCGGTAAACAAGTTTTGTCCCAGCGAGGCTGAATAAGTTAAGGCGCGCTCGGTGGATGAACCGCCACGAGGAGAAAGTAATTCCCACGCCGGTGCGCAGGAAGCGGTTGCTTTTGACTGAGTTTTTAGCCGCCGCAATGACCTTTCCCCGAGATGGCTTGTTTTCACACAATTGAGCAATATAATTATCGCACAGGAGCTGCCGTAATTTCGAGTAAAAACGTTTGCGTTCCGAGAGTCTCAGAACCTCGCTTCTTGAGCCGTCACAGAGCACTACATTGAGCACTAATTCCCCATTCGCGTAGGCGAATTCCAACAGCTGGAAACGCTTTCGTAGCTGCATCATTGAGCGCCTTAACCGCGTGAACATGCTGTGGCTTTCGCCACCGCAGAAAGACACAGCAGCGTTGAATTCTCCAGACGTATCACCATTCAGGAACGCCGCTATTTCATCCTTATTTGCCGGCCTTCTTAGCCATTTTTCTGCAGTGTTTTCGAGCAAACTTTCGAAGAATGGGCCAACCATTTGGTCACCTTTGTAGAGCAGCCTGCTCAGTGCAGTTATTGACTGCATGTGGTACTCATCACTAAGTGAAAGAATGCCTAGGCCTCCTTTTTCAAGGGTTCCGTAAAGATAGTCGTGCGGGGTGCCTTTGTCAGGCAAGCAGCAGATGCGCTTGGCAGCAATCCGAATTACCCGGTCAATTTCCTCCAGGTCCGAAATGAAAGGATCACCATTTCTAATCACATGAATCATGCGCGTGACGATAAATATCTTCAGTGCATCTAGCTTTTGCCATGGCGCCAGATTGCTTTCCTCTAGCAACTTAACGTCGCGCACAGCTTTCGCTGCTTGTTCTGCGATATCCGAGCGTTTGTTTTTTCCCAGGTCAACGCCTAGGTACTCGTAAGAGCCATGCTCATCAAGCTCTCTGACTTTCTCGCCATCAATTATGAAATGTGTCGGGCGCACTTTTTTGTGCTCGATGTGCAAGGTCGCGCACTTTCGCGCATTCATTTTGAGGCCAATTGCCTCCAAGAGTTCGCATAGTTTTGCGATCATCTTCTCAAGTTCATCCTTGCTCTTGGCAATGATGACCAAATCGTCGGCGAATGCAAGGATATTTACCTCCAATCCGTGAATACTTAGCGGGAGCGGGAACTCCGCTTTAAACTTTCGCAGGACTAGCTCTACGCAAATATTGAACAGCATAGGGCTAATCGGGTCGCCTTGTTTCACGCCCGCCGCAATCGGAATTTCTGCGGTCATGCCGCTAGCGCACTTGAACGCTGTGGTTGAGTTCGTATACAAATCCTTGATGATCTGCCGAAACCTCTTTGGGAAGCCAAACTGCTCAAGCGCGTGTTTTATTACGCTATGCGGTACTGAACCGAATGCATTTGAGAGGTCTAACCAGGCAACTGCTGCCTCACTCGGCGAGTTTGCCACCTGGTGAATCATGCTACGAAGCACTGCAGTGTGCTCACCCGTTCCATCCGTTGCGCAAAAACCCTTCTGTTCCGGGCTTATAACTCCGTGGAGCTGACTGATTCTCGCGGCCCATAGACCGGTGTACAGTTTGTAAATCGTATTTGAAAGGGCAATTGGGCGCCAGTTTGTCGGGTCATTTTTGTCTCCCTTTTTATATAGAAGTACCGACATGGTCTTTTTCCAATGCGTGGGAACTTTTTTTTCCGTAAAGCATCGCTGAAAGATCGACAAGAGGAGCTCGTAGCTTGGGTCGAAGCGTTTGAGCTCGCTGTATAAAATTCTGTCTGAGCCAGGAGAGGTGTATTTTACCTTCTCGAATTGCCTTTGAATTTCCGCCTTGCTGAAGGGATGGCTCAAACTGTCAAGGTTGAGTTTCTCAACCGTGCTCGAAAAAAGCTCGAGGTCTACTTCGGCCTTACCGGTCAGAAGCTCAACATAGAATTCCTCTAGTTTTGGAACCGGAATCTCACAGCTTGGTGAGACCTCTTCAAGAATCGTCCTGACCGCTGCCTTTTTAGACGAACGGTAGAGCTTTTGAATTTCACTTGTGATTAGTTTTTTAGTCCCACAGCTTTTAGTCTCCGGCGGCTTACCGACAGCGGCGGAACGCTGTCTAGGGACAAAAGAGAACGGGTCCTTACCCATCTTCAAAGCCCTTAGCATGTGTGTGAACTTTTCACACGCGCATTCGAACTTTTCCCACGTGTCTGCTTCTTTCAGCAGCGTTGCCAAGTGCGTCCGTACTTTGCTTTGGACGTCCTCCTTCTTTGCATCAGCTTGTGTTAGCCGCGCAACTGTCTGCGCAGCGCTATTTACTTTACGCCTAGCCGCTCTGGGCCTCTCTCGGCCTGCAGCGTTCTCTGACCGCCTTATCTTTGGCCTCGCCTGAGCAGCACTTGGCTGCGGCGAAGCGGCGGCGACTGACCCCTCGACTCGCTGCACACCGGCACGCCGGGCGATGTGCGCAGTTTGATGCGTGCTACATGACGCCACCGGAGCATCCGCTTGGGATTGCAATGGAGGGGGCAATCGCGTCGTGCGTCGCGTCGCCCCTGGTCGAACGGGTATCGATTCGAGCCGCCGTGACTTGCTCGACGCGGAGTGCAAGCTTCTTGTGCTGCTGTTGGGGGACACTTTTCTCCCCGGCAGCGTATCCGCTGCGGAGTCGCTCGTTACACACGAATTTTTTGTCGCGGTACGAGGAGGCGCAATGCGCTCATCAGCATTTGAATTTGTGTCCGCTTGGGACGGCTGAGAAAGAACGACAATGTCGTCAGGAGAACCGACCGATGCATTAGCGTCGGTAGCACCCTCAGGATACCAAACAGATTGCATGGATTCGAAATACGCATACGCACTTTTACGCCATGCAACCACTTGAGATTGCCTGAAAACCGGTTGCTTGCCGGAAGCAATTTTTTCAGTAATCATGCAAATTGCAGGGCCACAACTGTGACCGTCGTATTGGCGGTAGAATCTTTGAGGGTCCGCATACGTTATAGGGCAGCCTCCAGCATCGAAATTTTGGAGAATATGTCGCAATTTTTGCCTATACTCACTTGTCAGCTCATGCCTCAGCGAATCGTAGTAAGTGCACTGCACACGATCGCATATGGCCACAGACCAGTGGTTAACACCATCAAAAACCGGTACAACTAATAGCTCCCAGTTTCGCGGCTCGTCCTGCGGATTGCACGAAATGAACGGCTTTTCCTCGTAGTGGAATGCGGTCCACACAACGGGGTCGACAATGATTGTCTTTCCCTTTAAAAACGGTATCTTTTGGCTCAGGTAGGCAGAGATTGCTTGATCGTTGACCCACTCTTTGCATCCATTGGAAATGAGGCAAGCGTATTCAGCAGGGCTTATTTTGTAGACGCTATGCTGGAACGCTTGGGCACTTGAGCCCCCGGAAAAGACAATGTCAATTCCGGACTCGTCGGCCGCCTGCATTGCGGCAGCCAGATTTTTCTTAGCTTTTGGCGATGATTTCTTCTTTTGGGCGAAGCCTAAGCCTAACTCCGGAGAACCTTGCTCCTCCTTAATCATAGCCAGTTTTCTAGTCGATTTTGGCGGTGTTTTGAAAAGAATTTTATCCCATTCAAAGCACTCTGAGGACCCGCATTTAGACGCACTACGTGTGTTTTGCGCAGGTCCATCCTCTTGGGACGCTTTCTCCGGCGTGCCTTCCGGGCTCCTTTTGACCCTAGGAAACTCTTCTCGAACCCTTGGTTCTTTCTCATTAGCGGCCGGATAAACTTCCCGGCAAAGACTCCTTATGTCCGAACGACGCTGACACTTATTCGCGTGGTGCGTAACCGCTCTTTGGTTCACACCACCGGGCCACGTGCATCCCTCGTGAGGGCACGGAATAAGAGGCCCTGTTTCTCCCGGCTGTTCTTCCGGGTGCTCAAGTAAACAATGCTCGTTTACCAGCCTTTGCGC